AAGGAAGGAAGGAAGGAAGGAAGGAAGGAAGGAAGGAAGGAAGGAAGGAAGGAAGGAAGGAAGGAAGGAAGGGTGATTTGCCACCAAATTTGGTGGACACAGGGAGTCACAAGCTCAGGACCCTGTCTGTGGACTTCATAGGAGTCATCTTCTAATGTACCATTGTTCCTTCCCAGCTGTTACCTCCCCACAACTTCCCTTTTTCATCTGGGAAAAATTGTGTGTCCATCAACCAAATTCTGCCTGGAGATTCTTTATATTTCTAGCTCTGTCTCACAGTTTCTTTTCCTGAAACGGATCAGGAGCAGCAGCAGAAGGAAGAGGCTTCAGCAAGGGAGAGAGTGTTAAAAATAGTAGATTCCACGAATATTTACAGATATGTTTATCTGATAGCTCATTTATTGAAGACAGGCTGGCAATACACAACACCCTGCATGAGTCCCTGTACAGATAAGGTTAGGTCTGCCTTTCCCCCCAGACTTGAATGAAAAGATCTAAAAAGGTACAATAAATTATCTCAATTTTTTTCATGGAATGTTGCTGTCTCAGATCTCTTGATCAAAGATCTAAGCTTTGAGAAGATGAAGACCTGAGAATGTCTCCACCTTGTTCATATCATGCTGTCCCCAGCTTCAGTAATTTAATCAACTTCTGTTTTGCATACTTTGCTACAAAACTGTCTAATTCCATAAAAGGTGCCTATTAACATTCATCCAGGCCCCCATCAGGCTCTCTTCCCCATCTAATTCTTTTTAATTTTTAAAAAATAAAAAAATACGAAAAATCAAACTAACATGCCGCAAAGCCTTATCCTTTAGGACCATCTTCATTTCCACCTCAGCCCCAAACTCATTCTTTGAAAATAAAATTGGCCAAGGGATATGGTTTCTAGTCCTTTGCTTGGAAGTACACCTACCCACTTCTCAAAGGTTAACTTGGAGTGGTAGAGAATAAAAATGTGCAGAACATTCCATTCTGGGTCAGGATGGAACATTTTTCATGTGGTAGAAGCATCTGAGAAACTTCTGGTAAATCTGCCCATGGTAGTAACCACAATGGTTCTAATCGACTCTCAAGATACCAGACGTGCTCCATAGCCCAGAGGATCTAGTTCTGTGTTAGGGAATTTGTGGGAAACATTAAGGGTCCCTGGTTGCCTAGTACCCCTCAGGATTCCTTCAAATCCAGAGTTAATCCTGCTGTTTCCCCTATTTCCTTCTCTTTCTTCAGGCTGCCATAACAACCTCTTTGTCTCCTTCCACTGGCTCAACGTGTCCTCTTTGCAGCTCAACTGCCATCACTGCTATATCCAGAAGGTTGACAGTTTCCGATGGACACTGAATTCAAAGCGACTGGGCAACCCACCTTGGGCTAAGAAGAGCGATAAGGGCTCTTCTGTATTATTACATCCCATCCAGGATAAGGTATGGGGGCGCTGGGAGTGCCAGTCTCTCTCCAATCCTGCTTGGATTTCTGAAATTTGCTTGAGTTCACCCATTGGAGAAAAGGATGAAGGTAACTTGGGAATCGGTGGTTTGTTTTTACCTGTGGCTTATGTGTGTTAAAGAGTTGCGCAGAAAGGGGAAAAGTTCAGCAGATATGGCATTGCTCATATCAGTGACTGAGCTAGATGTCCCACATGTCCAAAAATTATCTGATTCCCCCATCAGATATTGAAGAAGACAGTCAGCACCTTCAGACTCCTTCTGGAGAAACATCACTGTCCATTTCTCTATCTGGTTTCTATGGATAGTGGTTTGCCCTTGCCTTCTTCTTCCTAGGGTTGAGAGAGAGGGACTGGCCCGAGGTCACCCAGCTGGCTTCATGCCTAATGTGGGACTAGAACTCCAGTCTTCCAGTTTCTACCCTGATACTTTAATCACTACACCAAACTGGTTCTCATAGATGGAAGCTACAGTAGAAACACTATATTAGCACATCCTTTGTAGGCATGGAGAAGACAAAAGGGCTCCTTTCCAGTCATTCTATGGCCTGGGGAGAACATTGCTTCATGTTTATTCAGTTCCTTAAATAAAGTTTTAAAAAGGTTGGACATCAGATTATTTGGGCTAGCAGAGTAAGGAATTTGACTCATAATATTTGGTCAACTTACAATATCTGTTAATATAGTCTTGGGGAAAACATTGTCGATACAAATGTAGATATGATGTGGTGTGAGACTCCTAAAATATGGAATTTCACATTTTAGGAAAAATGTTGCCTTTATCAAGCCTGGAGCTTAACAAAGAGAATTGTTTTAAGTAGATAAAAAGATATATATACTCCTGATGTTAAGGAATGGATTTGTGTGCTTTATGAGTTTTTGAAATGTCTTTATATACTAAATTGGAGAAGATGGATCAATATGTATCCATATGGTCTAGATTTAACAATAAATTTAAGGATTGAATAATTTTATATTAATAGATGGATCATTTTTTTCTTCCTTAGTTTTTTTTCCCTTTTTAAGCCCAGTTTCTTTTTAATCATATTAATGTATGTATTTTCTTTATTGTACTATCACTAATGTATTCTTTGGTTGGTTGGTTTCTATGTTTCTTATACTTCACCAATATAAAACATAAAATGTAAAGTTAGGCCTTGAGAGGCCTCGAATCCAGTCTCCTTAGCAAAAAAGATAATATAGCCAAAGGTTTTACTTAACTAAACCAAGCTGGATTAACAAAGTTTGATCCATTTCCATCATCCCATCATCCATGTGGGGTGGGTTTTTTTATTGTTTGTTTTTTTATTTATGGGATACACTGGGATAGCCCAGAGTCACCCTCTGGGGGAGATGGGTGGCATATAAATTTAATAAATAAAATAAATAAATAGCTGCAGCAAAATGGTATGACAAGCCCAGGAGTGATGTCACTGCAGAAGCCCCTCCTTTACATGTTTGTGTCATGCTGCTGCTGCAAGGCAATGCTTGTGTAGTGACTTCAGTGTACCTGGTCAGATGCCACAAAAACACATCTTCATCCTTGCTTGCTGGCAAAAAACAGGTCCACCAGGCCAGCCAACTTGTTGTCTGCTAGCAGTGGGCCATTAGTGGCTGAAAGCAGACTGGCCTGTTTTTTGCTGGCAAGGGATAATTAAAGCACCTTAAAATCTGAAACACTTTCAGAAGATGGAGAGAGGCCACAGTGTTTGAGTAGGGAGGGAAAATCATGTATTTCTCATCTCATTGTCACCCTCCCAACCTTTCCTGAAGATGTTGCTTCTACTCAGCCCACTTTGTCAGCGTCATCCCACTGGTCAAGTCCTGCTGTCACTAGGACTACGGAAGTTACACAGACACACCATGACACAGATGGAGTCACAACCTGGATTTGGGTGCTGCTGTTAGTTGGGCTGACTCTGGTCACAGCTGCTCTGGGTGTCACCTTGTGTTTTTTGAAAAGGGAGTTTTCAGGCAGGTGAGTCAAGATGCTTCCATGAAGAACCTTGATGGGAGGGAAGTGGGACTTTTTCAACCGGGCATTCCCCCATTGACTAGTTTGGCTACTGTAACTTCATTTCCCTTCCAGATGCTGCTAAGCCCATTGCTGTTGGTCATTAAAATGGGGGCTTAAACTTAGAAACTCATAGCTCTCCTAGTAGACCATGGGGAGGGTTAAGCACAAAGCTATTAGGGGGGACATCCCTAAAACAAATTCTCCCAGTGTACCATCACATTGTGCTCCTCATTACTGGCTGCCATTAGTGGGGTTTGGAATCATACCTTGTTTTTAGGAATGAATGGTTTCATTTGTTGCATTCATATACCTCCTTTCTTCCAGGTATCCTCATAACAATGCTGCAAGGTGAGCTGAACCAAGACATAGTGATTGGCTGAAGATCATGAAATAACCTTTATGCCATATAGGGGATGTTAATGTAGGTCCTAGTCCAATGCGTCAACCATGACACTATCCTTGGCCTTACAGCTATCTTCAAGGATTATAGTCACGCAATTACAGTCAGATGGGAATCAGGTTGCGGCCACTCCCAGCGTCATCCATCCAGATCAAGAGCAGAGAGTCTGCTGTATGCATTTAAACTCCCCACACTATTTAGAACCCCCCGTGATCTAAATTTTATGGGAAACCCATGAACACGTAGACGTGTGTCTTCTTCATAGCCTTTCCTCCACAAAATGCATGAAATCCCATCCGTTATGCAATCGTCAGCATGGAATGGTTGAACCTGACATTTGCCTACAACCTATCCCTAAACCAAACTTGGTGTCTTCCAGAAGTTTAAGCATACGACTCTCCATAGTTCCCATCAAGGCAGGAATGGTTGCCAAATGTGTTCATTGAGAAAGGAGTTTAATAAGGGAGAGGGTGCTATTTTAGCTGGTCTTGCCATGTTGATTATAATATAGTGCCACACTAAAGCTTTTTTAAAAAATTTCTTTCTAGAGCTTCTGGTGAAAGAATGGCGCAAACAGGTGAGGAGTGAATGAAGTCTTTCTTACCACTCACTGATTATTTTTGAGCAATATTTCGGGACTAGCCCACTCCTTCCAGAATATTTTTGTTTTTAAATGGAACATTTTGAGTGTTTGCAAACTGACACTAACATTTATCTGTTGTTCCTCCCCAGAGTCATAGACTCATTGGGTTAAATAGAGATCTTGGAGGTCTCCTAGTCCAAGTCTGTACTGCTATTTTTTCTGTTCTTTTATGCTCCTTCTACTATGTCCATTCCTCACTCTTTCTTTTATATCTTGCTCATCATGACATCACAACCTCAAGATTTTACTTCTGTGAGAAATCCCATCAGGAAGAAGAAAATAGGCAAACAGGAAAGTTTGGATGAGGTAAATACCAGCTGGATGATCCTGGGGGCAGAGTATGGTTAGAATAAACTTGGGCACATTGTGAGTCCAAGGTGCTATGCCATATTTCCATAACCGAACTCACAAGTAATTAATTTTGCCGTACATGTTAATTTGGGCGTGGGGAAGAGATTAACCACAAATAAATTCACGCCAAACAAACCCGGTTTGTTTTTTTTTAAAAAAAGGCAGAGTATCAATTTAACTTGGCAAAAAAAAAAAAAATCTAGATGGGAGCTGAGTATGTTCACAGTCAGGAAAGAGGACTCTGGAAGGGTATTCCATGGAAGCACGCTGTAACCTTTATTGACAGGACAGGATACAGAAGAGAGGTAAAGAGTTACAGCAAATCAGAGTCTAGTTGCATCTGAGGAATGGCTTCCTCTTGGTCAGAGTGGTTGAGAATTGGAATGGACCCAAGAGAGTAGATGTGCTTCATGCATCCTTCATCAGATAGTCTTCATCATGCATCCTTCATCAGATGGGCCTCAATACAATCCTTGGATTCTTATCTCTGCACTGAGCATGGGGTTAGATGGCCTTTTCCAGTACAGTGCAAAAGTAAGAATAAATAAGCCCCAGGCCATCAAATAAAAGTAACGTTTCCTAGCCTAAACTTCAGCCTGATAAGAAATCATGTTAAAAGGTTGGCTTTAGATGTAGTTCAGTGTTTCTCAACCAGCCAGGCTTCCCCAACTTGCTATGGTCTGGAATCGGTCCCCCAGACCCATCACCCTGGCAAAAACGTTGGGAATTGTAGTCCAATCCCTCTAGAAGGAACCTAGTTTGGAACGGTTAGGCTACTAGGACACTGTTCTCTTTTTAAGAAGGAAAGGAGAAGGGAAATGCTGTAGCACAACAGTTAGAGCAAATATTATCCCCCCAGTCTCCGAGGGTATTCGAACCATTTATCTCATGCTGGTTTCCTTTCCAGAGATCCGTTTCCCTTTATTACGCCCAGCTGCAACATTCCCAAGGAAAATCTCCACCGGTTCAGGCTCCAGACAATGCCACAGTATATGCTGTGATTGTTTGATACCACCTTTCATCACTTCCTACGTGCACTTGAAGACTCTGCATCTTTTACCTGACAGTGTAACGTCACCTGACAGTGCGACGTCACCACAAAACTCCACCTTGCCTCTGCTTCCAACATAGCATCCCGTGAGCTCATCAGGGCCAGGACCAAGGAAATCCTCCCAGCTCCATGTTTTGAATGAGAAAGAAGAGTTTTCCTCGACTTCATGTTTCCTTTTAGAAGGGCAGGACAAGACGTAGCAATGGAGTAGCCACGCCCTCAGGAGGGTGGGTTGCATCAGGCCTGAGAACTACAGCATCCATTTTGGGGTGCCTAACAACATTTGTCCCCATGCAGCAACTCCAAAGTGCAAGGAGAGAACATCACCCCCTTTTCTCTCGGGGCCTCTTAATAATAGAAATCACCTCATGTGTTTGTATCCAAAAGATCTCTACAACTAGTCCTGGAGATTTCCTTAGACAGCAAGGGCATTTTTGCCAAGTGCAAAGCAAGACAGAGAAAAGTTTAAATTCTCCTACCACTTGTGTCTTATCTGGCCAGCTGCAGCTGTTATGTGCATTTAAAGAAACATGGATATTAATTGCCATAGCTGTGGTTGAAGATATTTCCACCCATCCTTTTAACCTCCATTAACCCTCAGTGTCACAACTGCATTTGTAAATATCTAAGCTGTTGTACCAGTTTCTCATCCTTGGCTCCCTCCTTTTGCTTTCCTGCAACCATGTAGATTTCAATGTACTTGGCAGTCCTGTTTTTTTATCGCCTCGTAAATTTAAGGTACATTTGTGGTGGCTGTAGAAAAACATAAATCATTTCTAACACGGTGCTATAAATATAATAAACATTCAGCTTCACCGATGGATTCCTGGCAATCAAGGTCTGTCTTTCCTTTCTGTATATGCTTTTCATTTGCAAAGTACACCAGGAAGAGAAACTGAGAAAGGAAAGTCTGTATCATAACAGCAAGGTGCGTGCCAGATTTTGCAACCTGAAACTGCAAACCTAAACATTATTCCTAGAAAGTAAGCCCCCCGGAACAAAATGATTCTTGAGTAAACCAGCACAGGTTGGTCGGGTGACTCGTATGACAGGCCCATTACTATTTACAGTGGTACCTCGGGATACGAACGCCTCTACGAACTTTTCGGGTTACGACCAGCTCCGGCCGCAAAAATTTACCTCGATGTGTGAACTCC